TCTCTTGGTTTGTGCGCGCCGGGCGCGCAGGGAGCGCGGGCTTTGGCGCCATGTTTGGCCGGTTTTATCTGAGTGTATGTCCTTGTCTTAGGTCGTGTTATTAGGTTCAGTCTGTTTTATTCTCATAAAAATGTCACACTCGATTTTATTCGAAAGGAGGGGGTTGTGTGGATGAACAGCGGAAAGGTAGAAAGTATACTTGGTGTGTAAGGTCATTGTCAGGGTTTATTGTTAACGACGGAGGTTTGTGGGTTGGGGGTTTTCCAGGGCGCTCTAGAAAAAACAGCATACCGCGCAGTTCTTATTCTCAACCATTGGGTGTTCGGTGGATAGCAAGATTTGTTTTTTGTTGACTGGTTGTCAGGGGTATTTGGGCTTGGAGGATGGTCAAGGTTCGACGGAATTGTGTTTGGTAGCGCTTCCCAGCGACGTTTGTGGCGTGCTCTTTGTCGTTCACTTTCGCTTTAAAATGTACTAGCAGAGGTTTTTGGGTGGGGGGGTCTTGCACTTGGGCGGGGGGGTTGGGTTGGATTGAGTGGGAAGATGAGCTGGCTGGGGGTTGGATGAGATGGAGTCACATATTTCCTTTGGGTGCTGATCGGGGAGGTGGGGGGTGGGAGATACTCTGGGGTGGGGGAGCAAGTGTATTATGAGTTGATGATGGGGGGGAGTCGGTGGCGGTTTCGGATAGTGGGTGTATGATGTTTATGGGTTAGGTTGTCAGGTTTGGTTGTATTGTGGGTGACTTCCTTGTCAATTGATTGTTCGCTATTGAGAAGGGACGAAGCGGGGGATAGCCATTAAGCAAATTCGTGCCGGGGACAGGTTTTGTTGCCCGACAGAGCCTTTTAAAGAGGTACACACTCGAAATCGCATAGTTTCAGCGCATGAGTAAATTGGGTCAGACCGAGATCGTGACACTTGAGCTTCTCTAATGGTCCATGGTATTATTTGGGTGGGGGAGCTGCGATTAACGGGTTCAGTTCAAGTTGAGACGCTGGCTGAGTGTTATTGCCTCAGGTTGATTTGTTGGGAGGGTATAGTTTACACATCAAATGTTGGGTGTGTCCTGCGAGGAAGGGGTCACTATGTGGTTTGGTTTATTTAGTCTTTGAAGAAGGGATGCCGGGTTAGGATATCGGGCAGTGATAGAAATTGGGATATTGGCCGAGGGAGGTCACCGAATTTCGGGGATGCTGGCACTCTAGGGGACTCGGGGAGGGTTTAAATTGAGATTGGCCCAAAACGTTATGGTTTGTTGGGTTCCTGTGTGTGGAAAGCCTTATGCCGTACCGGTTTTTTACTCTAGGGAGACGCTACTGTGGGGCGACGGTAACAGCAGTCGGTTTTGCTTGAGAGCTGTGAATGAAGTCTCTGGCGTGGGAGGGATTTAGTATCAGCCGAGGAAGGGCTGCAACATCATGTGGTTGGGCGCTATTTGAGAAAGCGGCTCTGTTTCATCGACTCGGGGGGCTCTAACTGTCGTTGCTGGATAAAGGCGGGTGTCAATGGTACGATGTGAAGCGTCTTGTTTCTCAAACCACTAAACGTCGATTCCGTATCTTGTCGGTTCTTTGAGGGCTGGGTCACACCATTTTTCGTTCAGGTGGGGCATAGTGCTGGGCGGTAGAGCCTGTATTCCGCTGCGGTAAGCTGGAGTTGCTAGGCTCCATGCAGGGAGGAATTGGGATAGGGGTGTGTGGCTCGGGGAATTGGTACTGGGGGCGTGTTATGCATTGGGCATGCAGCTGAAAGCTGGTTTTATTCGAATAAAATGAACAGCAGGAAAGATAAAAAGCTAATACTTTGGTGTGAAGTCAAGCAGATCTTGTCGTTGTTAACGACCCGATCCCAGCGTCTAGAAAACACTGGACACCGCGCAGCTTCTTCATTTCAACAAGTATAGACAAGATGCTTTTGATGTCAGTATAGATGATCAACGAATTGTCGTAGCGCTTCCCAACGAGTAGGGCGTTCAGTTCGATAAAACAGCTGAGGTCGCACGGCTGCAGTTGGGAAAATACGGCTGATAAGAAGAGGTCACAATATCCGTTTGGTCGAAATACCCGTGAGCAATATGAGCTATGTAGGGTCTGGTATCGACATAGGTGATGATATCGTTATTGTAGTTTTGTACTGCTATTCCTTTGTCAATTTGTTCGCTAAGAAACAAGCCATAAACTTGAGAAACGCCGGAGGTTTTTTCCCGACAGAGCCATTTAAGAGGCACACCTCAGAAATCCATCGCCATAATAATCATCCACGTGAACCCACGTGACTTCTCGTGATCCGATTAGGGTAGTTCCTCATTAGCGTTCATCCAAAGTTGACGCTTCTGACTTAGGCCTCAGGGTACAATTCCACACAAATTTTGTTTGTGAGCAGGGTCCAGTTTGATAGTCTTAAATGCCGTTATCGGCAGAGAAAATCATTGCTACAGACACCAATTCGATTCTGGACTCCTGCATCTGGGAGTAATGAGATATCCAAAAACATGTTCTGTGGACCATCCCCAATTTTTGGGCACAATTCGCGTAACAGCTGCAGCTAGACTGCAAGTCTCGTGGGCAAACATCGCAAAGGTGCAACATCTGTGATGCGCCATTTGAAACCTCATTTCATCCACCCGCTCTTCTTGGCAAGGTGGGCAATGTGAGCGCGTCCTCAACCACAACTCGCATCCGTTCTTCCTTCTTTGAGCTCTCACACCATATCTTCAACGTAGCACTTCGAGAACACTGTATCACGCGTAAGCTGAGCCAGCACACAGAGAATTCGAGTTGCGAATTTTACGTATGTCACCAATCATTTGGAAATTCCGCCTCGATTTGGGTCACTATGAGTTCTTTATGTTTTTAAGTGTTTCCTTCTGCGGCACTACAAACTTAAATTGGGGTATACCGTAGCTAGGTGTGCTAGCTTAAAAGCAAAAGCAAGTGCTCTAGCTCTTTTACTTTTCCCACCATTTCTCTAGATGTCTGGACATGTTTGAATGAGATGACCTAATAGATAGCAAACCCATTTGCAGGGCCTGTTCATGGTTCTGATTGTGGATAGAGGGTTGAATTTGACGCTGTAGCAATTTGGCTCTCATTTGGAAGTGACAATTAAAATGCAAAAGTCCTCCCATGGAGCGGAGTCGAACCCAAAAGCCCGTCCTTCAAGTCCATCTCGCTATCCATTCGACCACCAGACCACTGCGAAAGGTCGGATGCCGACGATGCTTATGAAAGCGCTCCACTTTTTCCAGCACTACCGCTGACAGTACTTCAATTTTTGGCGAATTTCACCTTGTTTTTGATACCATCTTTCTCAGCACCCTTCAATATGCAGGTGATCTTCTGTGCAAGTCCGAAACGTCACTCCAAAGCTGTAAAAACCGCCTATTCTCAAGAATTTTTTTTCGACCTTTTTTTGGCCATCAGGGAACCGTTCAGCGAAAACTAAACATGGTATTGTAGTCCATACAAATGTTCCCACTACATGCAAAGAACCGTTTTGAAACGCGGCTCGCCCTGAAAGACCTCCCTTGTCAGGGAAACATATTTAGAGCTACTTCGGTGTAGCCTTTTTCCTCGACCGGACCTTCCATTTCACAGACTCTGCAATGAATTTGAAGTGAAACCTCGATGGAGCAGACAATTTTCTTTCGAATGGAACATAACTTCGTATAAAAACGTGGAGCCTTAGCAGGAAATTTTTTCATAAAAGCTGCATTACTTATGGAACAGGAGAAGCTAGGATCGATCAGGAGGAGCTTTTCAATAGATTTCCTATAGTCATTAGGTTCGTCTCAAATAAAAGGGCTGCCACCAGCAGATCCAGGTCAACAGCTATGCAAATATGAAGGCAGAATGCATTTTACAGTTTGAAGTGCGTCGCGTGGATGTGCCCCACCAAAACAGTGTAATCAGCTGTGCGATATTTGAAAGCAAAGGTATTATTGACTTATATGGAACACCCCTGAAATTAAGAATTATTCAATTAAGATACTTTTGATTGAAGTCGTCCACGGGAAAAACTATTTCTGCCATCTGCTTGACGGCATCTGCAGCGGTGGGCAAGACCGGAGTGCTCTTGACGAAGGGTGAAGCGAGTGTGGAGCCACGTAATTTCTAGGAAGGCTCAGCATAAGATCTACTCATCCTACACGTATAAGCTCCTAAGCGGCTCGTAGCAGTTTTACGGCGGGAGCCGAAATTTTTTATGGTTTTTAGGAAAAAAGAGGTTTTTTCATACAATACAAAATCTACTGCAAATATCGTTTCGTTTGTGTGCGTTATCGATAAATCAAGCATAGCACTTTAGGTAGTCTAGAAAGCATATTATTGCAACTCGATTTTTTTCATTTTGGTCACATTGGTCAGAGATTTGGTGTTTTTTCAGCTAAAAACCAAGCGTGCACGAAAGTGGGATCACTTCCCATAGCAGGCACGACACGACCAGGAAAAGATCGCTACTGGTGCCTCCATCAATAAACTCTGCCTAATTATAAATTTCATTTAAAAGAGACAATTATGTCGCCAACTAGTATACATTTATAAAATTTTGGCGTTCCTAAAT